GTGAAGTCATTATTGACAGTAAGTAATTACTACCACACATGGACAAATCGTTAGGCAGGGGGTTGGGAAGAATTCGATTTTGATTTGGTCTCTAATGAGGATTTGGTTTGTACTTCTGATAAAGAATGCATTATGGCCAAATTTGAGGATTTAGAACATTCAATAACAAAGTGATTAGGACCCCTGTACAAATGCCTGTTATCAAGAAGTGCAGAGAGCCTGGGGAAAGCCAGGTGGGGTAATATTTTCATGATAAGAGATTTACTGTAAATGTTAGTTGTTTAACTATGTGTTGTAACTCTTAATGTGTGTTTCTCTATATTACTGTTATGTATGCAGAACAAATGCGTAACACTTACACATAAATATATTTCTTTAAAAATTTATCTATGTGTATATTGCTAACTATCAGTAGTTTTGGTATATTTTAAATTACTAATATTATGGGGTTGCTATGAAACCCTAGTGACACAGAGAGGGGACAATTTTCCATTTCATGCTTATTGATTTGGGAGACGTATTACGACAGTTTTATGAGCAGATTATTTTTTTCTCTTTATTTATCTGCTTTGCAGTTTATCAAAAACAAAGAATAGCTGAGTGGATTAAAATATTGGTTTGTGAGTTTGGCAACATAGTAATTGTGAGTTCAATCCCTGGGCCAGGTAGTGCAGGCATAGACTCAGATAGAAACAGGGTGGGCCATAAATGAGCAGTAGTAAATACGAACTAGACAAGACATCCCTAGATACAGAGAGTGGAATGAAAACAATCTACCTTTGAAGATCAAATAGAGCCTTCAGTTCAAAATCCCCTGAAGCTTACTTGGATCAACAGACAATAGAAGATGGCCAGAGAGCACATCAGCCAAAATATGGTTATAATAGCAACAAAGATGACAAAATTAATCCAAATGTAGATATGTTTTTCATGTATGAAAAGTTTATTTGGTACTAGCTTAAAAGCTGCCCTATCAGGTAGCATTTAAGCTAGCTTCTGTGGAGAATTCTTAATTGGGCCTTCATCACAAGAGGTAGAGAGGAGTAGATGCGATAAACTACAAAAGATACAATAAACTACAAAAGAACTCAAAACTGATCCCTGCACTTGAGTATTGCATTAATATATAAGCTTACCTTTCAAAAGTTCAACAATAATTCTTCTGCTGCTACTTAATTTAAAGACAATTTGGTGTGCGTAGGTCCTTACTTTCCAATACAAACAAACAATTTATTTCATGGATGACTTTTGCTGGATTTCGTAATTAATTTCTATTATTCTCAAATTTATTTCCAAGTTATAAAAATTGTTATCATACAAAAAATTTATCGCAAAAAATCACATAAAAAATTGTCAAAAACTATCACAGTAACAAAAACTTGAAAATCCAAAATTTTAGAATTCCAGGTCCGAATCAGGCTCAGAATGTTTTTAATTTGCTCATGGAGTCCGCCTTATTTCAGAATGTTTATTATATGTTGGCTACGGCCTCTAAGAGTGAAGTTGAAAAACCGTGACACAGTGACACACTGACATTCACATTTATTATATAGACAATATAAATAATAGCCCTATTTTGTCAGTATTGTTGGCTTTAATTTCTAACCTCTGACTATTCCTTTTATTTTGCCTTGATTGACAAAACATTTAAATAAAAACTTGCAAGTTTCAGTTTTTAATCATCAATTTTCTTTTTCGGCAGCCCAAAATATTCTGTTTGTTTGTGCAGAAAATGCCTAAAGGAAAGTGAGTGATGGAGTAGGGACAGTATAGAACTTTCAGAGGGAAAATTAACAAGAGATAACTGATAACTGACATCCATTAGACATGGCATGTGGAACTACCCCAGCGAGCGAAATAAAGGGTTCAGTTCGACATTCCAACCACCTGAAGAAGGCCGAAGCATACAACGGTCGAAACATTGTAATAAATATGACGACAAAGATGAGGACAATAGTTCAAATTATGTAAATAATGAAGAATTAACATTTCTTACTAAAATTTGGGTATTTTGGGAGCATTTTTGGTATTTACCCAGTTTTATTTATATCTATTTTATTTATGCTATATATATTCATAGTATTTATATTCATCGTATTTATATTCATACTATTGTCCTCATTTCAGCTGTTGTGCTCTCTGACCTTCCTTATTTGTATATCAATCTAGGTAAATAACAGTGTATTCTGAACGGAACCCTTTATTTAATTTTTTATTTATTTAACCTACAGATGTAGAATGTAATCATTCCACTGCTTATGTCTAGGGATATTTTCTAGTTCTTATTTTTATATAGTACTGCTCAGTTATTGCTTGCCTGTTTCCACTGAGTATAAGTACACACTGCCAAACCCAGGGATTGAACTCACAATCACTATGTCCCCAAATTCACAAACCAATATTTTAGTCCACTGGGCCATTGGCCGAGAGTTCAATCCCTGGATCAGACAGTGTGTACTTGCTCTATTTATCTATTGTTGTTTCGGCCATTGTACCCTCTGGCCTTCCTCAGGTATATATTGATCTGGCTAACCTACAGGGAATGCTGAATTGAACCCTTTATTTAATCAATGGGGCTAAACTGTTCTCATTCCACTGCTCATTTCCAGGGATATCGTCTAGTTCTTGTTTTATTTAGTACTGTTCAGTTGTTGCTTGCCTGTTTCCACTGAATGCAAGTACACACTGCCTGTGCCAGGGATTGAACTCACAAGCACTATGTCCCCAAATTCACAAATAAAGAAAAGAAACATCATCATTTGAGGATTTTCAACAACAGCAACAGCTACTAAAATGGATAGCACAAGTAACTCAAAGAGAAAATAATGACATAATCAAGATGTAGACATTCCACACGACTTCAAGTAAAAGGTTAGGAAGGAAACCCCCATCAATATTGGAAAGAGCAATAACAGCTACTGGACTTAAGAAACCTATTTTTCTGAAAAATTGTTTTAAGAGAAAGATTTTCTAAATTTCAACTGACAAAAGTACTTGCTGCTTGGTCAATGAATGCCAAATGTTTCCTTAATAAGAAATATCTAATATTAAAATATTAAACAAGATATAGATATACTATTATAATGATGTAATGAGAATAATGACATAATCAAGATTTAGATATTCCACACTACTTCAAACAAAAGGTTAGTAAGGAAACCCCCATCACTACTGGAAAGAGCTATAATAGCTATTGGACAAGAGAAACATATTTTCCTGAAAAATTGTTTTAATAGAAAGATTTTATAAATTTTAACAGACAGTAGCACTGGCTGCTTGGTCAATGAATGTTGAATATTTCCTTATAAGGAAATGGCTAATATTATCATTACCAAAGATGACCACTGCAATGTGCTTTTCTAAAAACAATCCAATTAAAATTATATTTGACATGTCATCGTCATTAGTCTTCCCCCACCCCCATTCAAATGACTAATAACTAAATCCAGGGAAAATTGGGTTAATGCTTTAAAGAAAGGAATCAAAATGAATATCATATTGGTAGACATATAAAAGTTGCTGTCAACATGGTCAGTTTGTGTCTCCTTGAAATTTCTTTAAAGTTAGGATTATTAACATTATTATTGGAGATCTTTTTTTTAGTAGTAAGACCCAGGTTCAAATTTCCTTATGGTCCATTTGTCAAGGAAGTGATTTCTTGATAATGTTGGCCTGGAGAGATGATCCCAGAGTGCAGCATTTGAAAACTATACCATAGCTTGACCAAAGTCTTGTGAGTGAAATTGGATATACATGGTGTATAAAGTTCGTGTGCAACTTTAAAAAAATTTATAACTTTATTTGTATTTGTGATAGAAATAATTTGTAAAAAGGATTAGAAAGAAGTAAATCTATATTTTTAGGGTTTTATTGAAATTTTATTTAAGTTTCCACATGTCTTCCATCATTAGCAATACAAATGATAATATGATTTTGCAGTTCACGAAAAACATTTGCCAACTGATTTACAGTAATGCCTGAAATCATATTAGTTATTTTAGCTATACTTAAAACTAGGTACATTAAACTTTATAACATTTTTTAAACATTATTTCTATCGCTAATACAAATAAAGTTATAAATTTTTTAAAGTGCACACGAACTTTATGGACACCCTGTATATATATTTTTTACATTAAGGTTCACACTGTACAAGGCCCAGGAGCCACTCGAAGTAGAGGGTTACATTAGGAGGCAGCTTGTATGGATAGGAGTGGAAGGTTAAGATTGTAATGATTGGGGAAGCATCCTCTTGAAGTCTTTTCCACAGAGCAGTAGTTCATGGGAAAAAGCTGTTTGAGAAGAACTTACTTCTCACTAATGGAATACGAAGGGAAGGTGAATGGTTTGCTATAATAAAAGAATGTATTTCGTCTGAGCATTTTCTGTGAAAGTAGAAATAGAGCGGTGAGTGGCTTGCCACATTCCGCTTATGAGAGAGAGATTGGTGGGTGGAAAATAATTTGTCACCCACAAGGACTCGCAGATGCTTCTGGATTCTATTGAGGTTGGAAAGTGTGGTCTGTGCAGCTCTGACCCAAATATAACAATAGTACCTTGGTCTGATCAGGCTTTTGTAAAGGTAGCACATCATGGAGTCAGGTACTCACTGGAGCAGTTCAGGGAGCTGACCATTTTACCAACATCTTTAGTGATGACTTGTATGTACAAGTACCACTTGAGATCAGGTATGAGTTTAAGACCTAAGGCATAGTACCTCTCCAAGGGGACATTCATTCATCTTGACTGGCAGATGGATACCAAACTGTTTGGAAGCCAGTGATGGTAGTGTTAGCAGAAAAGTCATTATGAATGTGGATTGAGCATATTGCCTTTATACAACAGATGATTATGCCAGATTTTGCAACCCTCTCCCAGAAATTGTAACTATGGTCCACCCAGAATAGTTGCAATATAAGCCATAGGTTTGCTTTGTGGATGGGGAAGAAATACAAAAATGTGCCTGAGCAAGTTATCCATGCTAGCCACATTAGTAGATTTCACAGTTTTCTTAAGCCTGACATATACCTACTGCTTGTGGTAGTGTTAGTAGTAAAGGTGATGGTGGTGGTAGTGTTAGTAGTAGAGGTGGTGGTAGCATTAGTAGTAGAGGTGGTGGTAATGTTAGTAGTAGAGGTGATGGTGGTGGTAGTGTTAGTATTAGAGGTAGTGGTAGTGTTAGTAGGAGAGGTGATTGTGGTGATAATGTTAGTAGTAGAGGTGATGGTGGTGGTAGTGTTAGTAGTAGATGTGATGGAAGTGTTAATAGTAGAGGTGGTGGTGGTGGTGTTAGTAGTAGAGGTGGTGGTGGTGGTATTGTTAGTAGTAGAGATGATGGTGGTGGTAGTGTTAGCAGTAGAGGTGGTGGTGGTAGTGGTAGAGGTGGTGGTGGTAATGTTAGTAGTAGAGGTGGTGGTGGTGTTAGTAGTAAAGGCAGTGGTAGTGTTAGTAGTAGAGATGATGGTGGTGGCAGTGTTAGCAGTAGAGGTGGTGATGGTAGTGGTAGTGGTAGTAGTAGAGGTGGTGGTGGTGTTAGTAGTAAAGGTGGTGGTAGTGTTAGTAGTAGAGGTGATGATGGTAGTGGTAGTGTTAGTAGTAGAGGTGATGGTGGTGGTAGTGTTAGTAGTAGCAGTGGTGGTAGTTGCAATAGATGAAAAGAAGCTGTGATAGAATTGATAAATACGATCAAAATGCCAACTCTTAATCCTGAATTACTGTATTTTATTGTTATGAAGGCTTTTAACATCAAACATTATTTATATGTTTACAGTACAAACTGCAATATTCATCTATCTCAAGGCCTTTTATGTTGTTCAACATTTCATTTTGTCCCTTATTCTCTCGGTTGTGTATGCTCACTGGTTTCCTTTCCTTCTTCCTCTCCATTTATGGAAAACAGATTAATCTTCATGACTATCTTCATGGAAATTATGGCATGGGGAATTTGTCGATATTGCAAGAAGTCAATTATCCACGATATACATACTAGGTCTGTCATGCAAAACTGATTTTCTCTTTCATGTCTTGTCTAAGATGTAATAATTCATGGCAATTTCAGAATAAGTGATATTGAGGCATTAATGGAAGCTAATTATGAAGAATGCACAAATAATGTAAAATAAAAGCGAGAAATCAGTTTATTGCTTAATATCAATTTACAACTTAACCTTCATTTTATACTCAACAAAGAAACCCAAAGATTGTCTGAAAATGTAAATAAAACAAAGTCCTGCATCAGAATCTGTCTCTATTTCCGAAATGAAGTATTGTAACTATTTACACTATTTACATTCTTCTGACTGTCAGCCTTCTTCAAGTGATTAGAATTTCGAACCGAACACTTTATTTCATCCACGAGGGTAGATTGTTCTAGTTCCACATACCATACCTCTTCCGAATGTCTCAGTTATTTTCCTTTAACTCCATTCTCCAAGTTTTGGATCACCCCCTGCTGTGGCCTGATATTGAACTCACAACTCTTAGGGTCTAGTCATTGGATCTAACCAATGTCTTTATCCAATGATAATATGTTGCAAATATGGCAATGAAGATGAAGATAACAGTTCAAATAATGTAAGTAATCATAATACTTCATCTCAGTGATATAGATAGATATTAAAAATTCGTATCAGTTATAATTTATTACATGAATATTTTTATATTCACCTCTTCAGACCGTGTTTTTTTCTTAAAAATATTCTGTCTAAAGAGATGAATATAACAATATTCATTAAATAAATTATAACCAATATGGATTTTTAAGGTGTTTTCTTAATTTATCATCACATATTGTTCTGTAACTTACATTGAGCTCTCACTGGATTAAAGTCCTCCTTTGAATAATCCTTACCAATTACAAATTCGTATTATTTATATATCGAAATATATAAGTAAAAAAATAAAAGTGTACATTGAAGTCAACACTCAGAGGCAACAGGCTGTTTCATACTAGACGCAATCATTGGGCTGTGAATGTTGGATTTTTCCTTGACTATTTATATATATGGGTCAGTGGTGCATTGTGGGTAATTTATTCTGGCAGTTATTTTTGCAGGAGGGGCTTGTTTGGTTATTTATTTGTTTGGGTTAATTTATTTTACCTGTTTTTTATTTTCAGTTTTTGATATTTTATTAAGGTAGTAAAAAATTGGTGGTGGGGGGATTTGCTTAGGTTGCAAATTTAAAATAAAATAAACTAACCCAAACAAATAAGTAAATAAATAAACAAACAAGCCACTCCCACAAAAATAACTGCCAGAATAGTTAACCCACAATGAACCACAGACCCATATATATAAATAGTCGAGGAAAAATCCAACATTTGTGGCCTGACGATTGTATCTAGTATAAAACAGCCTGTCGCCTCTGAGTGTTGATGTCAATGTTCACTTCTATATTTATATTTACATACGCTCTATCTCTGATATTGAGCACTTTATCCCATAAATATAGCTCACCTTAAAACTATATTTCTTTATATACCTAAATATTTATATCTAAGCCTCTTCATGTCTATCTTTCTTTTTTTCTTTCTCTCTCACTATATCTATATAAGCTTGTTCATATCTGTCAACAGTGAAATGCTGCCAGGTGAAGTTCTCTTAGCAAAGATGATGCTAATTATTCATCATCATATGGCCATCACACAGTTTGGTGATGTAGGACACTGGTCCAGTTTATTTAGATATGATGTCAGTTAACCCTTTGACAACATTGTGTATGGCCACCTAATCAACATCCTCAAGTCCAGAATCCAAGTATTATGTTACTACTATTTTTCGTCTGTTCGACCTGAATCTTAGACCCAAGATCAAGTTTAACTGTATACAGATGAGTTGTCAATGAAACATCAGCGCTGACCTGTGCTTCAGTATCGTATGTTCTGGTACAGGAATAGGAATTTTTCTCCAGTTTGATTTACTTGCAGCTGAGTATCCCAGAGTTCATCTTTGCTTGAATATTGTTTTCCATTCTTACATCACTTTTAATTTTGGATCACAAGTTTTCTATTGGATTAATTTCTGAAGATGCTGGGTAGCGGTGCATTTCATTAATTTGGCAAGATAAACAATAGTCAATTTTGAAGAACGTAAAGGAATATTGCCTTACATGAATTCTAGGTTTTATTGGTTGGATCAATGAAGATGGATGAAAAATCACAAATACCCTATCTCTTTTATCCTCAGCTATGAGCTGAATAGCTCAAAACACTGGATTCTATAGCCTTGTTTGGCAACTAATCTATTGCAGAAAGAAATGGCAAATGACTGCGAGAAAATCTTCTGCATAGTTAATCATGAAGCAAAAGAAACAAGCATGTATCACATATGGTACTTAACTGACTGACAAGGATGTATATCTTATGATAGTACTTTTTTTCTTTATTTTTAATGGAAATTTATGGAAATTCATTTGTGAATATACAGTAATGCCTTGAGATATGAGCTTAATTCATTCCCAGACTGAGCTCGTAACTCAAAAGGCTTGTATCTCAAATCAATTTTCCCCTTTGAAATTAATGGGAATATTTCTGTTCCATTCCAGACCTCTAAAAATCACAGTTATTTTCCTAAAACTGTGTGAATAAAGATGTGTAAAAAAACAAGAAATGTTAGTTGACAAACAATAAAATAAAAGAGAGAAAAAAACAAATTGTAAAGAAATAAACTGCACTAAACCATGAAGTTCAGATGAGTCATAGGTCAACTGGTGGAGGGGAGAAGGAAGACAACAACAGCTAGCTTAGCCAATCAACAGCTAGCCTTGTCTACAATACCATAGATTAACATTATCACTTAGTTTTTAAATTTTTTATAACATTTACATTTTTTCCATTATTGTAACTAAATTTTTTTTTAATTTTTAAAATTTTATAATTTTTTATTTACTGTCAATGTAGAATGCTCATACTGCTGCACCAAATCATTATGCATATGTCTTCCTCATGTTTTTTTTTTTTATAATTTCCCACTTTACCTCAAGCAAAATCATATGTTTCGGCATTTCACCATCATTCTTTGTTTGGATCCATAGTGTCATTAAAGGAATTTTGCAAAATAACAGCAAAAAAGGCACAATACAAAACAAGATCTTTCCAGATTGAGGTGAACATGTGTACTGTAAGTGGAAATACTCTCAAAGCTTGGCGCTCAATGTGCAAACTCACTCATATCTCAAGATTTAGCTCATATATCAAGGCAAAAAATCAGCCAAACCCTGGCTTGTATCTCAAAAAACTCATATGCCGGTACACTTGTATCTAAAGGCATTACTGTATTTTAAAAATTCTTGTAATATTTACTCATTACAGTAACATGGTTTGGGATTATTATTATCTATTACAAGAGTACTACAATTGACAAAAGAGTACTACAACTAACAAAGGAGTACTACAGTCTAGGAAAGAGTATTACAAGTGGGGAAAGAATTTTACGAAGGAGGTAAACATATATTGTATCCTATTGGAACTCCAGTTCTTTAACTCAAATGGAAATGCTCACTTTGACATCCACAACTCATATGACAAAAACAGACCTTAATTCCATCCATTTGCACTCCCACTTCTGGAATATTACCCAAAAATACCAGGGTTAAAAGAAAAAGGCCCATGCGATTCACACAGCAGCCTTTTCTGAGCCACTGACTCACTATAAAGCTAATGCTGATTTCACTAATGAAAGCATATCTAACCTGTCTGGCATTAGTAAAAGACATCTTAAAGGCAGGCAAGCTAAACTGAATATGGCCAACTAAATCAATGGTTCCCAACATGATGGCTCACTTTGAACCCAGAATTTTTCTGTGACCCATGAAATTATTATTATTGTGTAAAAAATTACTTCCATTTTAGATAGAATATATCTAATAAAGCTACAACTATGTCTATTTATTGGACACACACAATTTCGCAAGCATCTAAAATATTTTGCATCTCCAATGAAACAACAATTTATTATGAACATTTATTTTTACTATTTTTTCTATATATGGTACAAAACAAAAAAAAATGTAGCCAATAAAAGCTTTATGGGTCATTCAATAAGCTGTGGCCCATATATTAACTTGGTGACCGAGTAAAAAATTATAAAATTTCTGTGGCCTATCTGAAATTTGCCATCACTCATTTGAGTTATAGGTTGGGAAACTCTGGACTAAATGACAGGCTAGTTCATTAGCAGTGATGCTAAGGCACTTATATCAACAGTCACACCTTCAGCCAGCAATGAAAGCAGCAGCAGTAGAGATTAACTCTCAACTACTACCTTGGATTATACCGCAAATGAACTCTCAGTCTCCCACAACTGATATATGATATGCTGGAATCATGCAAACCTTTTAAATCACATGTCATAAAAACTTTCACTTATCTTGACTACATCTTCTCTACATTTGTTGTTTTGTCACATACTTTTTTCTTGTTAATGGGAGACTGTCAATACAAATACTAGGATTAAAAAGAAGTGAGAAAAGAAAATTAAAAGTGAAGCATATATGCACTAAAAGTTAGAAAATACTACCACAATGCAAAAGGAGTATTAAAAGTGAAGAAAGAGTATTGCATATGAAAAAATGCATTACATTAACCAAAATATTATCTCTGAGGTGACTCATATACATATGAAGTCACAAAGACTATACATAGCTACAACTATTTCCCATGAGGCAGTTGAATGCATACTACTTCCTGTGTGTCAGTAAACTACATTACAATGCTGTTGCCAATATGTAAAGAATCAAATGAACAATTATTACTGGTTAATTATAAATACGCACAAGCATGGCTTAGGATACTAGTAGCTAAAGTTAAAACAAAAAAGCTGAAGGATTTAAAATCAGTTGGAGGAGAAAACCAAATAACTGATCTCTTGTTAACAACTGCTTGTTGTGAGGCCATTATAAAATTATCAGCCATGGCACACCCAAGACAGTTGGAAGAAATGATATTTGACAATATAAGTCAACTAATAGTGAAAAACATAACACCCTAGAAAAAACTAATGAATGTAGAGAGAGCTAAGTTTATGAATATTTTTCAAAAAAGTGAATGAACCAATTATTGAATATGTTCTTCATTTAAAACAGGCTGCCAGATATTGTGAATTTGAGAAACAGGGATTGGAAAACCAGTCAATCGAAGAGGATTTGGTCCAAATGAATTTGGTAAATGGCCTTGTAAATAACTCTTATGCCTTTAAAACTAGGAATTTGTTCAGCAACAAGAATTAATTGGAAAATTTAATAGAACAAAAGTTACAGATCTGACAGAGGAGACACATATGCGATAAAGAAAAAAGATCTTTTTGTGAATATCAACATCAAAGAGAAGAACAAAAATGTCCAAGATATAAAAAAAATGTGAAAAGTGTTTCAAAATGAATCGTTTTAAACATATGGGTAAATCCAAAAAGAAAAATTTAGAGAGAATTCAACAAAATGAAGAGGAAATAAGTATGGAGGTCATTTCATTGAAAAAGAAAAAAAATGAAAAAGGTCAATTAAAAATTCAAATCAATAATGTTTTATTGGAAATGCAACTAGATACGAGAAGTGACATGACGTTGATTCCCAGAAATTTCTGGAAGAAATTAGGAAAACCAAGATTAAAGAAAAGCCTTGTCCAGTCGGATCAGTTCGACAGATCTGTGATAAAAATGTTAGGCTATTTTGAAGCCTATGTGGAATTAAAAAATAAGTTTGACGTATTACCAATTATTGTGGCAGAATGTGGAAAGAATCATGATCTAATAGTAAATGATGTATTGAACATAAATTCAGCAAAATTGGTAAACAAAGTCAAGGCAGAAGAAACTGGAATGTTAAAAAAACTATAAAGCAAAATTAAGAATTAAAGGAAAATGTCTCATATTTTGAAGCACGAAAAGTGCCAGTTCATCTACTACCAATAGTTATGGAAAAACTAAAAAAATTACTGGAACAAGATCTACTTGAACAAGTTCTACCAGGGGGAGCAAGTGGGCCTTCCCATTATTAATTTTAAAAAAGAAAAATGGGGATGGGCATATTTGTGGTGATTACAAAATAGGTGTAAACCACAAAATATGTGCAGACTCATATCCTATCCCCAATGTAGAATGGGCTTTGAACTCCCTTGTGGGTATGAAAACATTCTCTAAAATTGATCTGTCATACCATCAAATACCTATTGAAGAAGACTTTAAAGAAGTCACAACAATAAACACACCTATAGGCTTATTAAGATGGAAAAAAAAGGTGTATGGAATTAAAACCGCAAATGCAGTTTCCAAAGGGCTATAGAGCAAGTTATTGGTAGCAATGTAAAAGATATAATATTCTACCAGGATGACATTTGTGTTGGTGCTATTAAGGATGAAGAATTAAAATGGAAAACCAGTATGGTATTGAGTAAGTTAAAAAATGCTGGATTAACAATTAATGAAAATAAATGTGTGCACAACATTAAAAAAATATAATTTTTGGATATTCCATATGTAATGAAAGCTTATTAATTGATAAAATATGAAAAGTTGAAGTACTTAAGAACAAAAAAGAATTGAAATCTTTCTTAGGTCTTGTAAATTTCTACAGGTGATATGTAGAGCAATACTTTGAATTGACAGAACCTTTTGCTACTTTAAGAAAAAAGAATGTGAAATTTATTTGAACGAAAGAACAAGAATTTGAAAATTTAAAAGCTGTTCTGGCAAAGAAGCCGGTAGTAAAAATATTTGACCCTAGAAAGGAAATAGAAGTAACAACTGACTCAAGTGAATGCTCAATTTTGGGAATATTAGTTCAGGAAGGTCATCCAATTATGTATCTTTCAAGAAAATTGTCAAAAGCCGAATTGAACTACTCAAGTATTGAGAAAGAAGTTTTAGACATAATATGGACAACAAAAAGAACTCATCAGTTTTTGATTGGAAAGAAATTCCTACTAAGTTCTGACCATAGACCTTTAGAATTCATACTTTCCTAAGATAATGTTTTCTAGAATTCTACAATAGGTGTCAATGTTAATGGTGTTTGATTTTGATATTGAGTATGTAAAAGACAATACCATTCTGCATGCAGACGCTTTGTCGAGATTGAGGTTTAGTACTTCAGAAAGCGAGAAAGAGAAGATTTGAAGATACTTTCTGTTATGGTCCGGTTCCTTGTACGATGGTGATAGTCCAAGATAGAACCAATAAAGAACTCGAACACAGGTATGGAATAACACAGATATATTAGAAACAGGAATATATACAGAGAAATAGAAGTGTTAGTATGAACAATCAGGTTTAGTAGAGAGAACAATGTAGTCTCGACCAGTATCACTATTCCAATGTCTTGCAGTAATTGTCTGAACGCAGACTGCCACTGTTTCTTGACTCGACTTGAACTACTGACGATATTCGACTCTTGAGGCCTTTTTCGACATTGAACTACATTTGACGATGTTCGGGTCAGTCACCCCCCCACGAGGGTGACATGTGGCACTTGAAAGGCCTTTTTAACGTGGGCATTCCTGAGCCATTAGGCTCGGCCAAAAAATAGCCCATTTGAACCCGTATAAACGGGTTCTGGGCCGGTTTTACCTCCCCGAAGGAGACTCCGCCCTTCGGCGTAGCCTCCTTCGGGTTCCTCCCGCCCGTAGGAAGAGAGTACAACCGTGTAGTCGGTTCAAAACTTGAACGACTGACTCCTTGCCTACTCTTGAGGCACAGTATTTATTAGGTATGGAATAGTCCATTATTATTATGGGTAAGATCCTTTAACACTTTCTTACATGGACCAAAACTGATATTATGTCGATAGACAAATTAGCGGAGGATACAAAATGATCTCCCATATCTAGACAGTCTCTTAGGGAGAGATAGTGAAGAGACAAAAGATCCCAGAAGTAGTACCAAGGAAAATAATGGGATAAAATCTCTTTGGTACAGGGAGATGAGGTGACTCATTTAGATATGAAGTCACAAAGAATATAAATGAGGCAGTTGAGTGCATACTACTTCCCATGCGTCAGTAACACTACATTGTGATGTTCATCATTACACACATACATACATACTTACACAACTTCAAATTATACAAAAACAAGCATTCATTGGATAATAAATCAACACTACTTTGTAATGGACAATTTATATATCACAGCTATGCAACAATTTTATAATCACTAAATTTTCATGTAGTTGATTTCGTGCACGTTTGGGAGAATCGGATCCTAGAAGCTTTCATCAGTCTCCCTAAAGCTCGTTCGCTGATTGGTCAATGCCAACTAATCAGATTGTCTGCATGTGAAGAATGATTCTTCCCACGCAGCGCTTTGGAGCCAATGATCACCTATATAAGCAAGAAATATTCTTAGATAATTAGTGAGATTTCAGCTGCCAAACGAAACCAGGCACCAATCTTCTCACTCACACCACTACTCACATGCTGAATATTCCTTACACTCACATAATATTTTCCTTACACAGCAAAACTGTTGAAAACATTTATTACCAGAAACTATCACAACATTCTTTCTTTCAGTGAATTTTGGAACACAATTAATAGTTAAAGAGAGACAACTCTTGTTTTACTCAATGCATGCCTTTCTTTCACATCCTTGTTTTTACATCTTATTAAATACAAATTTTATGTGTAATGATGTCTTTGGTTTATCCTTTTTTCTTCACGACAGTTTGGTTTCCTAATCTAAGTTAAATTAATTTGGTGAAATCCGCCACAACATTACAATCTCCATCAAAATTTGCATGAATATCATTATCCACATACCATATTTCCTGTAAAAAAGAGAC